GGCTCCGGCGTCGAGAGGTGAGTTCCCCCTTTGCTGGGACCCCGGACTCGCAGGTGGATGGCCTCGGGTTTCCCGGGAGTCGGGACCAGATGTTTGGAGACCCGCTCCAGCCTGGTCGGGAGGTAGTAGAAAGTGAAGTTGGAAGGGATTCCGCCTAACTCCAGATTGAAGACTCCTTGGCTCCTGAAACTCGGAGGGGCGGAATGTCAAGGATGGAGTTGGTAACCGCAAAGGTTAGGATTGCAATCATGTAGCTAGTTAGCTGCCTCAGTTTCTCCTCCTGTAAAATGGGATGGTAATTTAAGACTAGACTCAGCTGGTAGTGGTGGCGCACGCTGTAGGCTGAGGCAGAAAGATTGCTGCGAATTCCTAGCCAGTCTGGTCTACAAAGTGAGTTCTGGGCCAGTCTACGCTACAGAGTGAAACTTGGTCTAGATATATATTCACACATGTGTGAACCTTGTTTTATGAATTATAAAGCAAATGTTAAGCGGGGGGAAAAAAACCAAGTCACCTTGTGCCTTCAGTATTTTGCCATCAATAACAAGTTAAATTCGTGTGTTTTGGGACAGTCCTTTACAACTGTGTACTTCCGTCACTGTGAAGAGAGGTGAAGGCCTCTCCTAACTGCTTGGTAACTGATTATTTTCGTTGTTTCTACACTGTAAGAATCTGTGAAAGACGCCGGACGGTGGTGGTGTAGCCAGGCGGTGGTGGCCCACGCCTTTAATCTCATCACTCGGGAGGCAGAGGCAGGTGGATCTCTGTGAGTTCAAAGCCAGTCTGGTCTACAAGAGCTAGTTCCAGGACAGGTTCCACAGCTACACAGAGAAACCCTGTTTCAAAAAACCAAAAAAAAAAAAAAAAATAGGAAAGACATCTGGAGACAGAGGAAGGGCCTTTGCTTCCCCCACACTCACTTGTTTTAGCTTGATCTTGTGTGATGCCAGCACTATTCATTTCACAGTACTTGAAGTCACGTTTCCAGCCTTCCACATAACCATCAGCATCTCAAGTGGTTAACTTCCAGGTGCTCATTCTCAGAGCAAGCATCAGTGAGTGGTTGCCCTTGAACTCCCCGAGGAGTCCAGTGTGGGATCAGTGGAGCATGGGGTGCTGTAAAGAGTGTAGGTTCAGATGCTGCATCCAAGAATTGAATGATTTTGTGCAAGTTGTCTGACTCCTCTCCTGCCTGGTAGGGTTTTGAGGGTCAAAGCAGACAGATAGTATATGGGAAGTAGTTTAGGATGGTGTCCAGCAATGGAAGATGTTAAATAAACCTTAGGTGTCAATAGTAGTGTGTGAAACACAGCAATATGACAAATACTATGATAGTGCTCCAGACTTGGAGTGGAGAGGCAAAGATGAGGAAGCCATGGGATGATGAGGTAGCCAGGCTGTTGAGCATCTGGGTTGTTCAAGCCAGGTGAGCATTTGTGAGGATGCTTCCATCTGTTGGAGAGGGATTGACCAAAGACTACATAAAAGGTGAGAATGCCTGTGGAACCCCCAGTAAAGTGAGAACTGAAAATCTGTTCAAGTGGGTAATAGGCAGTTCAGAGCAACATGGGATGATACCACTGGGTTTTATTTTTAGCCTCCACACCAGTGACAGCAGTAACTTTTAAAATGAGTGCATCACATTGGTTTTTTAGAAAGAATGCCTGTAGTAGAGTGATGTTGGGTTGAAGTAGTTCTCTACTTCTGTGTCTAGGTTAGTACAGATAAATTTCAAAGCTTAGAGAACACTCCAGCAAGGCATGCAGAAACTATATGTTATTCTAGACAGTATTCTTTCCTAAACACCATATTTTGGTATATGTCATGTACCAGATTAGAAGAAGGCTGGTTTCTCTGAGAAGTCTCCCTATGATTAGAGGGTGTCATTCCATGTTGTGGTCTCTGCCACCAGGCACACTTGGTTGTTTCTCCAACACCAAGATGATCTTCAAGAGGGCATACCTGGCTGAAGCAAGCCCAGTAGTGCTGGTTTGGGACTTTTATTCAGTCTCACCAAATTAGATAACAAAAGAAAGACAAAAAAGGAATGTTCACTAATGATTGCTAGGGTCATGTCTCAGAGAGCACAGGTATAAATCACACATAATACACAGAAAACAAGAATGATGACTCATTCTTGTGATCCAAGTGCATTGGAGGCAGTGGCAGGGCATTAGAAAGTTCAGAATCAGGTCGGCTGGGGGGGGGGCACTTTAACCAATTGATGAAAAAGTGCTGGCGATGGTGGTGCACACCTTTAATCCCAGCACTCGGGAGGCAGACACAGGTGGATTTCTGAGTTCAAGGACAGACTGTTCTACAGATCAAATTCAAGGAAAGCCAGGGCTTCCCAGAGAAAACCTGTCTGGGGGGGAAAAAAAAAAAAAAAAAAAAACCAACCAAGCTAGCTTGGACTGAGGTTTCAAGCAAGAAAGGAATTTGAAAATTCAAGAAGTGCTGTGAAGACCCGGGATAGCTTGGTGATGGAATGCTTGCTTAGCAAGTGGGAAGCCTTAGGTTTAATCCCTATTACTCCTCTACCCCCAAGAAAAACTTAAGCAGTTACCTGGTGTGGCTTGGTAGATAAGGTAAAATGCTTGGGAAAGTCAATTACATGTCTTACTTACTTTGACTTTTTTGAGTCAGGGTCTTACTGTGTATCTTTGGCTAGCCTGGAACTCACTTGCAACAGTGTTCCCATCTGTGCCTCCCCAGTACTGGGATTAAAGATGTGCCATGATGCTCACCTGGAAAACAGAATTTGATAATCCATAATGGTTTTGTTGATTATGGATACTGGTGCTTTAAGATGTATAAATAGTTGGAACAAAATTATACCACATTTTGATATGTATATTGGCATGTCCTTCTATGTCAATGAAGTTTTATATATGTGATAATTTGAATGACAGTGGCACTGTAGGCTCATATGTTTGTATATGGTGTGGGTTTTTTGTTTGTTTTGAGACAGGGTCTCTCTACGTAGCCTTGGTTGTCCTGGAACTCACTATGTAGACCATGTTGGTTTGCCTCCTTCCTGGGTGCTGGGATTAAAGGTGTGCATCACCACAAACCAGGATTAACCATATCCAGCATAGTTGATATATTTGAATGGTTGGTCCCTTGGTGGAATGTTTGGGGAAGGAGGTCTGTCACTGAGGGTTGGTCTTGAGGTTTCAAAAGCCCTTGCCAGGTCTGTCTGCCTCAAACTTGTGGATAAAATTGTTGAGCCCGAGTTACAAGGATCCCCAAAGAGACCAGGGAGACAGACCACCGATGCAAATGCACAAGGTTTATTAAATTGTTTATCCTACCGGGAGAGGGACCCCCGTCTAGCAAGCTGACACAGCAGCCTCCAGAGGGGGTAAAGTTCCCTGTCTCCTGCTAGGTTTTAAAGACAGAAGTTACAGGATTACATCAGAAGGTATGGGTTGGTTTTTGATTGGTTGACATTTGGGAACAATCAGGAAAATGTCTCAAAGTCATATTTTGGCATGAAATACCTGTGTACCAGGTATTCTCATTGGTCAGTGCTGAGAGGGAACATTCTGTGGTTTCTATGGGTTTGTCTTGTTACTTGCAGGTGGTCTATTGTTCATAGATACCAATAGTTTTCGGAACTGTATTCTGGAGACTAGGGGAGGTTTTGGTCTCCCCTGGAGTTTCTTTTGTTGCCAAACAGTTCCCAGGAACTAAGCACCTAGGAGGCTGGGGGTGGGAGAGGTCTGGAGTTTCATGTGTTCAGTTTTGTCCCTAGACTCCTGCAGGCCAGAGGATCCGAGTGTTTCCCTGTGTCAGAGGCCTATGTGTCTTTTCTGTAGCCTGCCATGGCTGCTAAAGCAGGGGCTGAGTATTAAAGTAGAAATAAAATACTTGTGGCTTTCTTGGTTCCTAGAAATTACAAAAGCCATAAGCCTAAAATAAGTCCAAGCAGAAACTAGATAGCACTCAAACTTTTAAGTCATAATATAGTTCATGCTACCTGTCCCTTCAGAAGCCAGTAAGCAGGATAGGAATTGAATATAGCCTTATTTAGTGTGTTAACAATCTGAGAAGACAGAGATTCATAGTCTGTGTTTTGGTTTTTTTTGTTTTTGTTGTTCCGAAACAAGGTTCCTCTGTAGCTTTGGAGCCTGTCCTGGAACTCGATCTGTAGACCAGGCTGACCTTGAACTCAACAGAGATCCACCTGCCTCTGCCTCCAGAGTGTTGGGATTAAAGGTGTGAGCCACCACCATCTGACTAAGATTCATATTCTGAAGTTTCATGTTCTGTCTTAAATCTCATCTCCAGGCCAGCAGAGAAGACGGTGTTGAGAACACAAAGGTGTCCGTCACTCCAGGACTCAGTCTTGACCCTTTGGTCAGCCCTGTTTCTGAGACTTATGATGCCTGTGCATCTCTCATTAACTCTTCTCTCATTATGGGTGTTTGAGCATAGGTGTTACTACTTGAAATGTGGAGTCAAGTTAATTTCTGCTAGTGTCAACTTTGTATTCCTCCAGGAGCATCTGAGCTGGGAGGGGTTAACTCAGAACAAACTAAGCATTAATAACATTGTGCACAGACTCCTTTTATATTATGAAGTATATGTGTCTTTCTAATACAGAAAATGAAAATACTCCTATTTATTCCTTCTGTCCTGCATTGCTTTTTTTTTTCCCTTCTATTTGAGACAGGGTCTTTAGCCCTGACTGTTCTAGAACTTGCTATGTAGAAAAGGCTATGCTATGTAGACAAGGCTATGCTTGCTCCATGTGATGGCACAAGGCTATGTAGACAAGAGATCCACCTGCTTCTGCCTCCTGGGTACTGGAATTAAAGGGCATCATCACAGGCTATTTCACATCACTTTTTTTTTTTTTTTCTCCTCCATTGTAAAAAAACCAGTATCACTCTCTACCCATGGCTGGCCTATGTCTATACTATATTCCTAGGCTGGCCTCAATGCAGTTCTTTTCCTTAGCTTCCCCTAGGACTGGAATTCCAGGCATGTACCATCACTCCCAGTGACTCCC